AAAAAAAAATCAATATTGGGGTGATGTTGGTATGATTTATGAATCAAAGGGGGGAATGGTTAATGTGATTCATGCATCATTTATATATCATTTTTATATTCTTAGTTGATATTGATGGTCAATTTGAAAGTGTTGTTTTGCAAAGGATACTGTTTGGTCTTTTTCTTTTCTTCCAGAAGCATTTGGGGAACATATGGAGATTGAAATACTCAAACAGGGACAATATGAAGGGACAATATGAAGGGACAATATGAAGGGACAATATGACTGGAGGAGATGAAACAAGGAGGGTGTGGCCGATTCCATCATCAACAGTCCATTGGAAGAGGAGACTACGGGGAGATGAAGTGTAGTGGACTACATTCCAGTGTCTGCAATGAAATATAGACATGTGTAATACATAATTGTGTCATATTCTTAGGGATTAATTTTTGTAGAAGGATATTTGATGTTATTGAATACATGTGAGGATCTTAGATGTTTTTGTTTATTTCGTGAATGCTTAGGGACAGGAAATTTAGGCAGGGAGAGGTTCACTGTACGGTCCAATGGGTTGACCAGCCTTACAAGTGGATGTTTTTGGATAGGATTTTGTTTGCAGGGGCTTACATGTGTATTTAATTGCATCATAGTTTCAAATGCATTTACATGGTTTATGAGGTTATCTGGAGTACCGAAGGTGGTTGCCTGGGGCAGAGGGACCGTGAGAGAATTTTACTGTCTTGATTGATGGATGGAAGGTTGCCGGACAGTTTTTCGCTCTTACACTCCATAGAGATTTGTTCATATTTCATAGTAATGTATTCACACTTCATAAACAGTTATTGCATAGAAAGGTATTTACACTCTAGAGAAGAATGTTTTTGGTTTAATGTTAAAGATACTCAATAAGAAATTGTTACTGGTCATAATCCTATTCTGTTTGTTTTCGAGACGTTTAGTTTGTCTCGAAAGGGGGGAATATGTAGTGTATTAAGATTATGATGGTGTTAAATGTTTTTCATGAAGAAATGGAATGTTGTTTATGTTAGTATCAAGAGGGAATGTTTTAGGTGTAACGTCACATACAACAGACCGGAAGTGTGTTGTAGACAGGGGAGACTGGGGATTGGCCAGAAGAGGGAGCATCATTGGTTATAAATAGGGGGGAAAACGAAGGAGAGGGCAGAACGAGCAGCCATTCTGAGGCGTCGCTCTCCGGGTGTCATGTCACCTGTCACTCATGCTGAAGCTTCTGATCTGAATAAACCTTATGATCAACGTTCAGTATGAGCAGACTCCTTTTGTTCATCAGCAATAATTGCCACCACTCACTCGATACGACAGTAACAACACATCTGCCACGCTGATCCTCAACACTGGGGCCCCTCAGGGGTGCGTGCTTAGTCCCCTCCTGTACTCCTTGTTCACCCACGACTGCGTGGCCAAACATGACTCCAACACCATCATTAAGTTTGCTGATGACACAACAGTGGTAGGCCTGATCACCGACAACGATGAGACAGCCTATAGGGAGGAGGTCAGAGACCTGGCAGTGTGGTGCCAGGATAACAACCTCTCCCTCAACGTGACCAAGACAAAGGAGCTGATCATGGACTACAGGAAAAGGAGGGCCGAACAGGCCCCCATAAACATTGACAGGGCTATAGTGGAGCGTGTCGAGGGTTTCAAGTTCCTTGATGTCCACATCACCAACAAACTATAATGGTCCAAACACACCAAGACAGTCGTGAAGAGGGCAAGACAACACCTTTTCCCCCTCAGGAGACTGAAAAGATTTGGCATGGGTCCCTAGATCCTCAAAAAGTTCTACAGCTGCATCATCGAGAGCACCCTGACCGGTTGCATCACCGCCTGGTATGGCAACTGCTCGGCATCTGACCGTAAGGCGCTACAGAGGGTAGTGCGTACGGCCTAGTACATCACTGGGGCAAAGCTTCCTGCCATACAGGACCTATATTCTAGGCGGTGTCAGAGGAAGGCCCAAAAAATGGTAAAAGACGCCAGTCACTCAAGTCATGTACTGTTATCTCTGCTACCGCACGGCAAGCAGTACCGGAGCGCCAGGTCTAGGACCAAAAGGCTCCATAACAGCTTCTACCCCCAAGACATAAGACTGCTGAATAATTAATCAAATGGCCACCCGGACAATTTACATTGACCCCCCCCCTCTACCAACTGAGCTACACGGGACTTCATCTTGACTAACCTGTACCCCCGCACATTGACTCGGTACCGGTACCCCCTGTGTATAGCCTTATTATTGTTATTTTATTGTGTTTCTTTTTTTTTTCTTTATATATTTTTTTCTTTAGTTTATTTAGTAAATAATTTCTTAGGTCTTTCTTGAACTGCATTGTTGGTTAAGGGCTTGTATGTAAGCATTTCACTGTTCACCTGTTGTATTTGGCGCATGTGACAAATAAAATTTTATTTTATTTTATTTTATTTGAAATACATCAAACCTCTGTGAGACGTTTTGGAAATGTATGTTACAATATCCAAAGACCAAAGAGAACTGTCCGTGTCCATTTAAAATGCCACTATTCATCCATCTATAATAATTTCACATTATCCCCATCTATTTCATTCAACTTGATTACCAATTGATGTCTTTCATTTGTTCTTCATTTTCTATATGACCACTTTAGATTCTATTCCTCTAGTTCAGGGATGGGCAACTTTGATAGGGGTGGGGGGCACTAAAAATCTGAACTCATCATGAGGGGCTGCAGTGGCTAGTGGGTCTGCATACCCACAGCCATACCCACAGCCATACCCACAGCCATACCCACAGCCATACCCACAGCCATACCCACATATGCAGTCAGAGCTGGCTCTAGCCTAAGTTACATTTTGTTGCCCCCCCCCCCCCTTTCTTGACAGCGGAGAGAAAAAATTGAAGTTTTAGAGTTTATTTCCTGCAATTCTACACATTTTGCCATGAGGCGTAGAAAATATATTGCAGTCTCAAAGCAAGTTTGCTGCAATTCTACACATTTTGCCATGGGGTGGAGAGATTTTGCAATTTTATAACTAAATTCATGCAATTCAAAAAATTAGCAGCTTTACAGTTAATTTCCTGCAATTCTACTCATTTTGCCATGGGGTAGCTAAGGCTGTAAGTGTGTGTTTCTTGTGTTTTATAACACAGTGGTCTTGTGTTGTACTGTGTTTTCCCTTAGCGATTACCTTTTGGAGGAAAGCCAGAGAACAGAGAGACTCCCACACAGTTCCGTTTTAGTAAAACAAAGAAAATGTTTATTCACAGCTTCCATTGAAAAGAAAATGTGCAACAGTATCACAGTTTCCTTCTTATTCCATTCAACCACACAGTCAGAGGAGGAGGGGGAGTGGCACATGGGGAGTGAGAAACAGAAATGCCCCGACACTCTCATCATTACCTGGTTGGGTTTGCATTTGATTTGACAGAGATGTACATTCAGCCATGCACCTGCTGTCGGGAGAGTGTGTGTGTGTTAGATCTGGAATCAAACAGCTGCGTCTTCTGCTTCCAGTGAAATCATCTTAGAGTCAGACTCATTAATATATGAGAGCTGCTTGAAATATGACAGCTTGCTAACCAGAGGGATTGTTAAATGCCTTTTAGCATGAGAGGTAACTGGCACACACACACATTAAAGGGATGACTGGGGCACTCCTTATCTGGTGCTGACTCGCAGCAGGTCACTGTCACTCTTTTGGACCGGATCAACCCAGCTGGACCCAGGCTTCAGTCACCATAATGGGCTATAGGTTCTCCCCAGTATACTGTCCTTCTGTGTGCATCTCACATTAACACATACAGAGAGACACACACTGTGGTCAAGAGGGGAACCACAGACTTAGAAACAAGAGGTAGAGACGGACTACTGAAGGGAAAGATTTCCATACATCTTTTCAAATCTCCTCAATCTTTACATACAGTACACTAATAAACATGATGGCGTTACTCATGGCAACAATCACCAATGGGAAAAAGAGAAAGAAAAACTAGAAAACCAGAAGAACGTTGAAGCATGGGCTTCATACAATAAAACTACACAGCAGTGTCATGTATGTAGCTATCTAGTGTCACAAGTGTATCACTACCTACAGAGTTAGTGTGAGATATTTACAGTGTGGTTGTTATTGATGGTGTTGACAGGAAAAATAGATGACATGTCAAATGTTGGAGATGGAGAGACGCCCTTGCTTTCACTCCCTTACTGGCACTCGGACCTAGCCTGCTGTCTGCTGTATGTCGTAACAACTCTTTTTAATCCTCTCACTCTCACACTCTCTCTCTTTTATCCTGTCTCTCGCTTGCCAGTATCCTTGAAACTCTTTTGATTTCTGTCCTATCCCTGTTACACACACGCTCACATCGTTTTCTTCACCCTTTACATCTATCCACCTCTCCTTTACCATCTCACTAATAGTTGTCTCACTACAGTATTTTTCCATAAGTATTCTTGTCTTCCTACTATTCCCTTTATGAGATGCCCTCAGCATTTTCTGTCTCTTGCTGCTGTTGCCCTGTAGGAGCAGCACTCTGGTGTCTCTGGTCTCTGAGGTGGACAGGTGAAAGTTGAAAGGTCAGTGACAAAGATGAAGCCAAAGGAAAGTGTTGCTTTTGAAAATATTGGTACGCAGTGGGTTGACAATGGTGAGCATTTGACGCCATACAAAATAGCCAGTGTCACAACGCCTGCGTTGTTTGCTGCGAATACAAACTAGTAGTTATGGTGATTAAATTCCTGAAAACAGAACCTGCTGCTGTGATGTCATCTCAGTGAAAAATGAGCTCAGCCCTATCAGCAGCAGCAGTGCCCTCCAATCAAATGGTGTCACACTGCATCTCACCTGTGCTCCTGAGAGCAGCTCCCTACAAACTGCCTGCTCCTGCATCAGTGTACCGCCCCCTGGGGGCCAGGGGGGAAACTGAAAGGAATCAAGATCCAGGTGTGTAGAGGAGAAAGAGAAAGGAGTTGGAGAAAAAGAGGAGCTAATAGGGCTGTTCAGCCAAAGAGAAGGTGGAGGGAGAAGGTTAGTACAGAAAGGGAGAGGAGAGGGAGGAAAGACTGAGTGGGGGAGAAGGAGGAGGAGGAGGAGGAGGGCAGGAGGACCGGGGTGTCGTAGCCGGGCGGGCACTCGAGCTCGAAGCAACGCACAGAGGCGTCTTCGTTCCCGTAGTTGGCCCAGTACTCCTCCTGGTCCACCTTGGGCAGGTTCACCTCCTCCTCCACCAGCTCGTACTTAGAGGAGAAGGAGGTGGAGGAAGGGTAGGAGGGCTGGTTGGGCTTGACCGAGGAGAAGGGGTGCGCCTTGACCGTTTCCGAGCTCTTCTGGAAGATTCCTTTGGACGAGGCCACGGGCTTGTGCTTGGAGAACCACCATCTTGTCTTGGTGCTGAAGGTGGTCGTGGTGGTGCCGGCCAGTGACCCGGGGTCGGGGAGGGGACAAAGGGCAAAGTCCATCTCTCGGAGGAAGCGCAGGTCCTGTCCGCGGCGGGGGGAGGGGGAGGTGCACATCAGCTCGGAGGAGGAGATGCGAGCTGTACGGAACCACTCCCACAGGGAGCGGGCCTCACAGCCGCAGGACCAGGGGTTCCCGTTGAGGCGGAGGAACTGGACTGCCACAGCATCTTTCATGGCCTGGCCTGGCAGCTCTGCCAGGGAGTTGTTGAACAGGTAGAGGATGGTCAGACGGCCCAGGTCACGGAAAGCACGGCGGTTCACCTGCCGGATTCGGTTGTCGTGGAGCAGGAGGCGGTCCAGGTTGACCAGGCCGCGAAACACGTTCTCGGACAGCGTGCGGATGCGGTTGCCATGCAGGAAGAGGTGGTTCAGGTTGACCAGGTCGGAGAAGAGGTCGTCCTGGATGAAGTGCAGCTCGTTCTCCTGCAGAGAGGGAGGACATTGTCTTGTTAGTGTGTGTGTGTGTGTGTGTGTGTGTGTGTGTGTGTGTGTGTGTGTGTTATATGAGTGTGTGTATCCATACCTGCAGGTAGAGGAACTGCAGGCTGTAGAGCTTGAGGAAGAGGTCGTGGGGGAGAGCGGCCAGCTTGCAGCGGTGCATGTGCAGGCTCTGCAACTTCTCCAGTCCACGGAACGCTCCACCCTCCAGTCGCCGTAGTAATGGGTTGTCACCAAGGTCCAGCTCTTCTAGAACCCTCAGGTTGCTGAAGGCTCCAGCCTCAATCAGTGTGATGTTATTGGAGTAGAGCCAGAGAACCTATAGGGGGAGGGGTTGAAAAGGGAAGAGGTATATAGGAAGGGATCGTTACAGAAATGAGCAAGGACACAGCTCCGATACGAACACACAGAGCTCAAATACTAAACAAAATACTACATTTAAATGCAAAACTATGCAATATCAATCCACAAACACAAACACAGCTCATTAAAAAATAACTTATGTACACACAAGCACACACATTCTAACCTGTGTCTCGAAGCCAAAAGAATCTGCTCTGAGCTCGGTGATGCGGTTGTTCTGCAGAAAGACGCGCTGGGAGTCGTAGGGCACTCCGGAGGGCACGGTGGTGAAGTTCTGAGACTGGCAGCTTACCGTCATAGGCGATGGGTAACACACACACAGCCTTGGACACGTCCCTGCCCCACTTTGCTTCACCGCCACCAACCACAGCACTAGCCATAGGGTGAGCCCACCTGAAACACACACACACACGGAGAGAGGCGCGATATGGATAAGTTTAACACACAGTCATAATTCGTGACAATATTTTCTCATTTTATCTTATTCACTCATCTCTTTAATTGTGGAGACATAGATTAAAATAATGGGACATTATAACAACTAGCAGATGCATTGTACAGTAAAGACAGCCAGAGAAAAAGGGATTGAAAAAGAAAGAAGGCAAGGGATGCAGCGCTGTTTTCAGCACTTGGAGCTGTCCAGTCTAGTGGTGCAGAAAGGACGCGGATATTACGCACAAGCCAAGATTTGCACAGGACTGCCATGATCTCAAGTCTGACTAATTGGCCAGTCGCACTCATTCATAATAAATGACATTATACAAATCACCCGCCTATTCAGTTCTACCTGATCATGTTACATAAGCTAGTCAGCCCACCGGGCACAGACCAGTTCAACTTCTAGTTTCGATTTACATTTGGTTGAGTTGTCAACTGATGTGAATTCAACATGAAATCAACCAAAAATGTCACCATGTCATTGGATTTAGGTTAAAAGTTAGATGGGGGAAAAAAAGAAATTCCCTTACATTGATGACTTTTTTCAAATCCAATCAGTTTTCCAAATTGATCACATATCTTTTTGTTGGTTAAAATGAGGAGGAAACAACGTTGATTCAACCTGTTTTTGCTCAGTGGGAGTACACGTTTATAATTCTGGTAACTTCATTCAACATTTATCCCAGACTAAATAGCTGAATGTGCGTAAAACCAATCTTCTTCTCTGGTTCGAAGTGCTATCAAGTTCTATCACACGAGCCACACAAGTGCTAAACAAGATTTACCCTAGTAGCCTAAATTCACGAGCCAACTTCACAAAAAGGTTGGCTCATGAAGAGGTTACAGAGTATGGACAAGGTAAAATAAGGTAACCGGATCCGGATCGGTTTCTCTCTGCATGGATTATTCAGAGGCAGTTTGGCAAGCTCGGATAACGGGGCACAAAGCGAACATCGCATGGAAAAATTATCGCGTGCCCATTCAGCTTCCCCAGCAAATTTTCCAATGTCCTCACCTTGATTACCCGAACCCGGTAACGACATGGCTCGTTAACTCCACGCGCACGGGAACTGGAGAAGACTTGTTTAGTAGGTGCGCGCGTGTGCGCAACATTAACAATTTCCAAATTAGTTTTTGCTTATTAAATAAATATGACCTTAATTCCTTGTTTTGGCTTTGAATAATTTTCTCTCTTTACAAAGTTTTTACCAAATGTAGGCTACAACTGTGCATGGGTAAAAGTACACAACTGAACGAATGAACTACTGAGCTTTATAATGTTGAGGTGGATGGAGACTTAAAAGATTAGAGGTTTTAAGTGTCATCTTATTTGCAAGAGCCATATTTGTACTTCAGGAACTAAACAACTTCATTGAATAAGTGAATACAGTAGCCTAGAGGTGTATGCATGCAAGCACGGTCATACAGGCAGGCTAGCAGTTTACGCACCTAACTGTGAACGAAATCAACTGAGTAGTTCAGTACTTGAGACGTTCTTGTCTATTGATGTTCTGTATTATGTCATGTTTAAAAATTTTGTGTGGACTCCAGGAAGAGTACCTGCAGCTTCAGCAAAGCTATGGGGATCCTAATAAATAAAATAAAAATACATAAAACAGTGATTCACTGTAAATCATATCTTAAGACATCACCATCACCACCAACAACATCTAGTCTAAAACAAAAAAAATCATGATGGAGCCAAGCCTATAGCCTATGAACTGAAGTCAACTCACTTTTGAAGTTGTGGATGTTGGCGCTCCGAGATCTCCGTGCAGTCGAGCGAGTTTCCATCTCGAACCAAAGCCGACAGCGAGTTAGCCTGAGCGCAGAGAAAGTGCCTGCTATCTCCGCTGAAGTTCAGCTCTGGTAACCGAGTCAGTGCGACTGAGTGAGTGACGAGCAGAATTCCCGTGATTGGGTTTATACTTGATGAGCTCGCGCCCACGGCTGTGGGCTGCGGCGGAATCTCTCATACCTCATTCTCGCGCAGGGGAGGGGATGTGGTGAATGAGAGAGTTGCTCAGAGGAGGACTGGAAAGGAGAGGACGGTCACGGTATGTGTATGCGTGCGTGCGTGCGTCGGGGGAGCTCGACACTGTGTGAGTTTGGATCACAGAGGGGGGTTGGAGGAGGATAAGCAGTTGGGAAAAGATACTTTGGCTTAAAAACAAATAACTTTTGCTCCTTTAAAGCGTCAATCTGTAGTTGCTACATCCATGTTTGGACTTATACATTTATGATATGTACCCATTGATTCTTGAATAATATAACTTATAAATGCCTCATGAGCTTAATTCAACTGTCGTACCCCATCAGAACCAAAAATATAAGCTTGTTTTTACTCCACCGTTTGTAAACAAAGCAAATATAAATAAACCCTGTATAGCCTGAAAACATGGCTAAAACGATCATTTTGATATCATGGTCATGGGTGATCAGTCCTTGCATCCATAGCTCTGTCAGTGAATTTGAGAGTGGTTACATTTCTCCAGGCCCATCATTCAGTTATTTTTTTTACAGAAACAGTGGTTGGGATTTTGCTTTGTTATTGTTTCAAATGCTGATTGCCGCTTTAATGCCTAAATCGCTCTGGATAAGAGCGTCTGCTAAATTACAAAAAAAAAAAAAAAAAAATTCCCCACCTTCAATGGCTTGGAGATAATTAGTCTGAGAAATAGCATGCGATTGAGAATATTTTGAAGTATTTTGTCTTTACTTAAAGAGATAGAGTAGCCTACCTGTGAGAGGAGAGTGGGCATTATGAACGTCAACTACTATGCATGAATGAGGCCGTTAATTAGGCCTACCTCATCATCTCAAATGTACAGTATTTATCGTCGCTCTCTCTTCATCCAATAATAGTATGTATTGATCATGCGTGTGTTATAGGCCTACATCAAACATTCATAACCTTGGCACAATAGCCGATACCGTTTCAAGTATCCTACCCTGATGCGCCCTATAGGCTCCGCAGCCCACAGACCGTTTTTCCCTTGGATTTGACCATAACTTTTCATCGACCTGAATAAATATGTTATTGTGTAAAAGGATGTTTAGGGATGGGCAAATTTGATGGGGGTGGGGGCCACAAAAAATCTGAACTCATCATGCGGGGCTGTAGTGGCTCGCGGTCTGCATACTCAATCCACACACGCATGCGTCAGAGCTGGCCCTGGCCTTTTGCTCCCACCTTGCCAGCAAAACATTTTCTTGACAGGGGAGAAACAAAATGTCCGTTTTAGAGTTCATTTCCTGCAACTGTAGGCCTACACATTTTGCCATGGGGCATTAAGAAAATATTGCTGTTTTAAAGCAAGTTTGCTGCAATTGTACACCTTTTTCCACAGGATGAAGATAAATGTTTGGTTACTACAAGTTTAGCTAGCTGGCTAGACTAATTTACCAATCTTAAAAATGTTAGCTGACATGGGCTAATTGAGTGACAGTCATTTTTTAAAAACATTTTAGTCATTTAGCAGATGCTCTTTTTTTTCATACTGGCCTCCCGTGGGAATCGATGAAAAAATGCTGGAAGAAACAAACATTTGCAGCATATAAACTCAACATGATCAACAGGAATGACATTTACTCTCACAGGTGTCCAATAAGATCTATCTGAAAGCCACACCCCTAATAAGCCACACCTCCTAAAATTAATTTAAGGATTACATTCAAAAAGACCCAGCTGCTAGGTCAACCCAGCATGAAAGTAAAAAATACCCAATTGATGGTTAAATTAACCCATATTTGGGTAATCCCAACAACTCACCAGTTTGGGTTATTCATGCAACCCAACTGGCTGGGTCAAAATAACCCAGTGTGTATTCTGTCCAATATGTACCCAGCCTGTGTTACCAATGAACCCAAATTGGGTTGTTTTTAACCCAGCATTTTTTGGGGGGAGTGTAGGATCGAATGGATCAGTCAGGTATTTGCTTGAGTTAGTTTTGGATTAGATTATTGATTTGTGAAATTACACCCAAATAAGAAAGTGTCCACAAGTAGGGCCTAACCTGAGTCCGGATCTCCATGGTGAAGGGACAGAACACTACTCAATGCGTGTGTGTTTGTGTGTTTGTCTGTTTGTGCGTGCGTGCGTGCACAGTCTGTGTGCTTTCTAAGGTACATTTCAGTGGGTGGAGTAGGGAGGTGGTTTGGTAGAGATTGTATGCAGCATGTGTGTGCATGTTAAGACATGTTTTGGGGGTGGGTTGAGTCAGAACTGAGTCCTCTCCCCCATGACTTGGGTCAAGGCTGTTCCATTTTCAGCAGCATGATGCACACAGTCTGTTCCTTATGGCAGCACAGAGGTAACAGCACAGAACAATAACAATGGCTACTCAGGAGAAGGTCAGCTCCACAAGCTGTGTAATAGCATATGACATCATTCATCTGCAGAGAACATCTTTGTGTGTGTGTGTGTGTGTGTGTGTGTGTGTGTGTGTTTGTGTATGTCTGTGTGCATCCAGGACCTTCAGCATAACAATCACCCTACCAAAACCATGGTCATAACTTAACATCTCTGGTGATCAATTAACCAGCTAGCAATCTGCTGTGTGTGTGTGTGTTAGTGCACAATGTTCCTTGGGTCTCTAGGCTTTGGGGGTGGTAGTGAGCTCTGCGAGCTGGCACCAGTGGTCACCATGGGGGGCCGTGGAGAGTTGGTAAGGGGTGGAGAGGGGAGGGATGGGGGGAGTGAGAAGCTGATTGCACAGCTGACCGAGGGTGGCTCTGTGTGCCCCCCTCCCTTCATCACGCACCCAGACATTGGTCATGAGGCAGTATGTGTGTGTGTGTGTGTTAGTATTCTGTCGATTATCTATTGAAGTAGTCAGAGATCACATGCCTTTACTACAACTTTCTTTCTTTCTTTCTTTCTTTCTTTCTTTCTTTCTTTCTTTCTTTCTTTCTTTCTTTCTTTCTTTCTTTCTTTCTTTCTTTCTTTCTTTCTTTCTTTCTTTCTCTGCTCTCCCTCCTCTCTCACACATCCCTCTCTCTGCTCTGGTACACTAACATGTGATCTGGTGTAAACACAACATGTTGAAAAGGTTTGTCCTCCTGTCACATGCCGACCCATCCCTCCTCGAAAACACTCACGCACCCCCATACACATGCACCGACCCCCACTAACATGTGATCTGGTGTAGCCACCACTTTCGCAAAATCAGGCACGGACACATACAATACAGAGCCAAACCCACACAGACACGTTTCTACTATAAATGCAAACATACTATACACACATAAGGAGAAGTATACTCACAAACACGCACACCCCCACATACAAGGTACATACATTTACATTTTAGTCATTTAGCAGACGCTCTTATCCAGAGCGACTTACAGTTAGTTCGTTTTTTTATTTTTTATCTTTCATACCCCCCCTGGGAATCGAACCCACAACCCTGGCGTTGCAAACGCCATGCTCTACCAACTGAGCTACATCCCTGCCGGTCATTCCCTCCCCTACTTTGGACGACGCTGGGCCAATTGTGCGCCGCCACATGGGTCTCCCGGTTGCGACCGGCTACGACAGAGCCTGGATTCGAACCAGGATCTCTAGTGGCACAGCTAGCACTGCTATGCAGTGCCTTAGACCACTGCGCCACTCGGGAGAACCTAGAAGTGTGTGTGGACTCACTGGTGTTTGTGTGTGTCTCTTCATGCTAATAGGTATAGGCGTGTCAGGCAGTGCCATGGCCTGAGGGGACTGTCCACTCCCACAGAGACACTCCAAAAACTGATCTTGAGCGAGGGTAGACAGAGAAAGAGAGCAAAAGAGAAAACGTTATGGAGAGAGAGGGAAAGAGGCAGAGAGAGAGAGAGAGATGGGGTGAGAGAAATGAAGAGAGATGGGCAGGGGAGAGAGATAATGGGAGGGAGAGAGAAAGAGGCAGAACACCAAGGGGAAGATAATTAAAACAGACATGGAGTGGGTGAAGATAAATAGGACTACTAGGGTGGGATATGGAAAGGGAAAGGGGGATACTTAGTCAGTTGTATGGGAGGAAGGAATGAGGGTTTCTCTTTTTGGTTTCCAGTACTTTTAGAATACAGAAAACAGGAGAGTGCATTAGTGGATGTATTGAATGACGTTCAGCCGGTATTCTAGTAAGAGTATTGACAGGTAAAAGAAAACAAGGTGAATCCCATTTAGAATTACATACAGTGAGGGAAAAAAGTATTTGATCCCCTGCTGATTTTGTACGTTTGCCCACTGACAAAGACATGATCAGTCTTTAATTTTAATGGTAGGTTTATTTGAACAGTGAGAGACAGAATAACAAAAAAATCCAGAAAAATGCATGTCAAAAATGTTATAAGTTGATTTGCATTTTAATGAGGGAAATAAGTATTTGACCCCTCTGCAAAACATGACTTAGTACTTGGTGATAAAACCCTTGTTGGCAATCACAGAGGTCAGACGTTTCTTGTTGTTGGCCACCAGGTTTGCACACATCTCAGGAGGGATTTTGTCCCACTCCTCTTTGCAGAGGTCATTAAGGTTTCGAGGCTGACGTTTGGCAACACGAACCTTCAGCTCCCTCCACATATTTTCTATGGGATTAAGGTCTGGAGACTGGCTAGGCCACTCCAGGACCTTAATGTGCTTATTCTTGAGCCACTCCTTTGTTGCTTTGGCCGTGTGTTTTGGGTCATTGTCATGCTGGAATACCCATCCACGACCCATTTTCAATGCCCTGGCTGAGGGAAGGAGGTTCTCACCCAAGATTTGACGGTACATGGCCCCGTCCATCGTCCCTTTGATGCAGTGAAGTTGTCCTGTCCCCTTAGCAGAAAAACACCTCCAAAGCATTATGTTTCCACCTCCATGTTTGACGGTGGGGATGGTGTTCTTGGGGTCGTAAGCAGCATTCCTCCTCCTCCAAACACGGCGAGTTGAGTTGATGCCAAAGACCTCAATTGTGGTCTCATCTGACCACAACACTTTGACCCAGTTCTCCTCTGAATCATTCAGATGTTCATTGGCAAACTTCAGACGGCCCTGTATATGTGCTTTCTTGAGCAGGGGGACCTTGCGGGCACTGCAGGATTTCAGTCCTTCACGGCGTAGTGTATTACCAATTGTTTTCTTGGTGACTATGGTCCCAGCTGCCTTGAGATCATTGACAAGATCCTCCCGTGTAGTTCTGGGCTGATTCCTCACCATTCTCATGATCATTGCAACTCCACGAGGTGAGATCTTGCATAGAGCCCCAGGCCGAGGGTGATTGACAGTTATTTTGTGTTTCTTCCATTTGCGAATAATCGCAGCAACTGTTGTCACCTTCTCACCAAGCTGCTTGGCGATGGTCTTGTAGCCCATTCCAGCCTTGTGTAGGTCTACAATCTTGTCCCTGACATCCTTGGAGAGCTCTTTGGTCTTGGCCATGGTGGAGAGTTTGGAATCTGATTGATTGATTGCTTCTGTGGACAGGTGTCTTTTATACAGGTAACAAACTGAGATTAGGAGCCCTCCCTTTAAGAGTGTGCTGCTAATCTCAGCTCGTTACCTGTATAAAAGACACCTGGGAGCCAGAAATCTTTCTGATTGAGAGGGGGTCAAATACTTATTTCCCTCATTAAAATGCAAATCAATTTATAACATTTTTGACATGCGTTTTTCTGGATTTTATTGTTGTTATTCTGTCTCTCACTGTTCAAATAAACCTACCATTAAAATTATAGACTGATCATTTCTTTGTCAGTAGGCAAACGTACAAAATCAGCAGGGGATCAAATACTTTTTTCCCTCACTGTAACTGTGATAAATCAGAAGGAGCTGTTTAAATCGCTGCCAGAGTCTGTGTGTATGTATGTGTGTGTCATGAAAAAGCTTTCCCTCTCCTCTTTCTGCCTTGGAAGACTTGATTTAAAAAAAAGACATCACCTCAGGCTCATTAGCACTGACTCATTTATTTATATCTCATTCTCCTCCCTACATTTCTCTACTGCTGTTGCTTATTTGTTAATTCTTTATTTTTACATTGTGACGTCGGATGGGGATCATTGATGACGCAGATAGGCGACAGTCACCAAACTAGACTCTGAGCAAACAGAGCTGTCTGAGTGTGATTCAAAATAACAGAGGGACTTTAAAATATTTATGTTATTTCAACAGTTTCAAAACTACAATTAAGTCACCATATGAACTAACTATTCTCTCAATTAAAGTTTCTCTTCAAAGCAATTTATTTCAGCCTAACTAGGCTGGAGACCGTTCACCTCAACACAAGGCAGCGGTAAACTGCTCACAAGTGGAGGGTCGTCACTTGTTACCACAGCCACAAAGTCATAAACCCCGCCTATTTCTACAATTTATCTTATTAAAATGTTATTTTAAACCTTAACCACACTGCTAACCTTAAATTAAGACCAAAAAGCGAATTTTTGTTTTCACGAATTTGTACAATATAGCACATTTTGACTTTGTGGCTGTGGTAGCTAGTGGAAACACCAAGTGGTCCCCAGTCGCTATTCATTGACGTCGGCGGTATTACGTACTGTATATTTTCCTGCTTTGCTCTTTTCTTGTAGCTAGCCTGCTAGCTAGTTGACAACAATGGGCGATAGTGAGCAGGTTGAGTGGACGTTTATGAAATTATACCTTACCGATATTGGAAAAGCTCTTTCAGGAAAATCTGGAACACGGATGTCGAAGAAAAGTAGGTGGCATGCTAATGTATCAACACATACCAAAATGTTAACGTCACCAGCTAGCTATTTGCTGCTTTATGTTTCAGCAAAGGCAGTAGCGTTAGCTAGCATAGCCATTCACAAGTTTTGCAAGTACAGTTTTAAACGTACATCGTCTAGGGGTTCAAGCAGCGCGAGCTTGCTATGCCTGATGCCACTGGGCACATACTGGTTGAATCAACGTTGTTTCCACGTCATTTCAATGAATTGGCGTTGAACCAACGTGGAATAGACGTTTAATTTACCTCTGCACAGTGGGATTGTTTCCACTAGTTACCACAGCCACAAAGTCAAAATGGGCTGTATCGTTAAAATATATCAAAACCAAAATGAGCTTTTTGGTCTTCATTTAAGGATAGGATTAGGCATATGGTTATCAGTGTGGTTAAGGTTCACAATCACATTTTAAGAAGATACATTGTAGAAATTATGACTTTGTGGCTGTAGTAACTAGTGACGACCCAGTGGGCTAGAACAGCACAGAAGCGGCAAAGGCTACATATGAGAAATAACAATAGAGCCCCACAGTGGAGGTGTCATAATACCCATACAACCTAGCGGTCAAACAGGGAAATGGTTCCAATCATTTTTCACATAAGGGATTTTAGAAACACCTAAAATAAGGGCTGTGTTTCGTGTAGGCTTACCCTAGTGTGACGTTTTGATAACCATGTAAGTCTCTCTCGGACAAGGTGACTTCTTTCACTATATTTGGCTCTATTTACTCTCAGATTCGAAAATGCTAATTAGCATCAAAGTAGATGTCATGCAAGACTACAAATCCCTGCAAGCTCCTCCACATCATCTCTAGCAGACAACTTTGCTAACAGCTATTGTTTCAATTTAAAACTTGCACAAAACAGTTCACATAATTGACAATTTAAAGAAATGTAGCAAATGTATTAATTACTACATTTAGCTAACATTAGATAGATTTTTAACTTTGCCTCGATTCGGCGGTCTTGTCCAGATCATCAAGGCATTTGTTGTTCTTTATGATAGCCACATAAGCAGCAAATTAGCATTTCATTTTTGGGGGTAAATACAGGTGACTATTTTGATAAAAGTCACCTTGTCCTAGAGAGATTTACACGGTTATCAAAACATCACGCCAGGGTAAGCCTACATGGAACACAGCCCTTATTTTCAATAAAAAAATATGGTATGCGGTAAACACAGGCTTAGGAGATCTTATACATTTTGTTCTATGTGATCATGTTCATTGTCACTTTTTATGAATTTTGAAGCATTTATGTAATTAAAAAAGCACATAAAGGCTTCATAATGAATAAAGGTAATGATCACTGACTGATATTATCTCATAGAACAAAGCGTATAACATCTCCAAGCCTGTGTTAACCGCAGACCTTATTTTGGGCATTTATCCCAAAACCCTATTTTTTCCCCCATTAATTTTCCCCATAGGTATGGCTGAACGAACCAGCGGTAACTCATTTCCGTTTTTTAGGACTACAAGCTGGCGAGCTCTATAGGGTCTGGTTCCAGCAGATCCCTTCTCACGCCACAGACGCTGTGAGACATATGAGATGAGACAGGATGTCGAATGGTGCCAGATAGGATGGTGCGTTACCACCACCAACAGCACAGGTGGTGAAATTACATTTAGAATTTGAAGATAGGTACTTGCTAGTGTGTACTAGCTAGAGTGTCTGTGTGACAGGTTAAAGGACATATTCATAGCCTGTTATACACTAAAAAGTATTAGTAAGTTCATGGTATGTAAGGATCTTAAAATATCTAAGGTTAAAAAGATCATGCATTCAGTACTAGTTCATAGAGATTGATAAAATTCATAATTGTGTTAAAATCCGTCAAGTGTAAAAGGGTAAATATTGTGAGAGGAATGTGTAAACGTTATATTGACTACTTTATTTTGTGGTGCCTAATTTAAGGGTAAAAGTAGTAATCTGTGATCTACTAAATGCTCTTAATCTATGAGCCTGTGATCGATTGCTCTGGTCTCCACCCAACTTTCCGGGGAAATCGCGGTCTTTTTTCCTCATTATACTAAAGTTTTCAGTGAGGAAACATAACTGCATCACTCTCGTGATTATTTCTCCCCTTTTTCAGGGACGTAACATCTGCTAGCTAGGTAGCGTGTACTAGCTAGCTAGTGTGTACTAGCTAGCTGCACAAGCAGCTGCACAAGCAACAGTGGTTAACATAATGCCCTGGACCAGAGCTGGTGTGCCGACTTGTATGCGCGATACACGAGACCAACAAACGTCAACAGGTTGCGAGCGCACATACCATTTGAGATGCAAAAATACCATCTGAGACTCTTGCGCTTTGAGGTTTGCAGACCACACGGCGTCAGCACGCATAATCTGCAGCTGGATGCTTCTCAGAAATAATCATTTTGATTCCAACCACACACATCTGGGGCGTATTCATTAGGCCGATTCTGTTGAAAAAAGTTTTCCCAATGTTGGACAAATTCCGGTAGGTCCCTCCCCGTTTTGTTAAGTTTGCTTCCGTTTAAGAAATGTTTTGCAACAGAATCTGCGTAATGAATATGCCCCTGATCAACCCTAGTGGGTCTAAAGCCTAAATTAGTACATAATAACTTCATTAGGGATTCTTGTTACGGACTGTTTCCATACAATTATCGTTTGAAAACCTAATAAACATTAGAAATAATAAAACATATTTAGTCCATAGAAACTAAATTTGGTATTTTATTCTACTTTACACACAATGCTGTCTCTCCACCATGGAGCTTATACTCATTAAATCATATCTTCAATAACAATGTAAAACAACAAATACATAAAAAAAAACCTGTATTGATGGAGATGTTCCAGAAATAATCTTAGAATGATAATGTTTTAACAACTTTAGCCTTATATGGGAATTATAAAAATGAAGTGGTTGTTAAAAAAGTAATAAAACCTCACCCCTCTTTTTCTCACAGAACCGGCTGCCTATCATGAAGAACAACAGACAGGGGTGACACCCCCTCAAAGGTCTGAGAGCCAGCTGAGAACTCCCCAGAGAAACTCCCAGTGGCAAAGTCCCAGGACGCATTCTAAGCACCTGAAAGAAGAAGAGAGGGGCTTTTCTCCCGTGTCTGGGTCTGGAGATGAGAGCGACAAGGAGGCCTCCCCACCAAAAAGAAGGACCACAATAAGCAGCTCCAAAAAGACAAGAACCAAGTCTCACTCAAAGGATTATGATGAGTGTTCTGGGTCAGAATCTGGCGAGCAGCCAGAGGAGAGCACAAAAAGAAAAAGGACTAATACTTGCTGTAAGGAGGAGGATAATGACAACTTGTCAGACAAACCAACTGTGGTGGCTTCCCCCAGAAACAGGAGCAGGCAACGTAGTGACTTCAATGTATTTGAAGCAGAGGCTGAACCATATAATACTCTGTCTGAGCCTGAGGTGGAGGTAGTTGTGGAGGGGGAGACTGAAGTGGCGTCTGTTTCTAAGAGGTGGAAACAGTGCAACCCCCCAAAAATAACTAAGCCTCGTGCCGAGGACAAAGCTGAGAGTGACCATTATGAGTTGGTAGAACAGGCTGAAGAAACTCGCATTAGAAAGAAACTTAGCAAGTCTAAAAAGGTAAGACCCAGGACTCCCTCTGAAGACGTGGGGGAAGTTGAAAGTGACCACTTCGAGATGGAAGAACATGCTGCAGCTGAAGACACTACCCTCAGAAAAAGACAGAGGAGGCCTAAGAAATCTATAAAGAACAGATCCAAGAGTCCTTCCAAGAAGGCCAGCGATGCAGAGAGTGATGGTGTATCAGGCAAACATGTTTCCAAGACTCTGTCTAAGGACTTACATGAAGAAGAGAGTGACCAAGATGCTGAGACTCAGTCTAAGAACCTAAGTGAGGAGAGTGACCAAGATGCTGAGACTCAGTCTAAGAACCTAAGTGAGGAGAGTGACCAAGATGCTGAGACTCAGTCTAAGAACCTAAGTGAGGAGAGTGACCAAGATGCTGAGACTCAGTCTAAGAACCTATGTGAGGAGAGTGACCAAGACTCCCAGACGGAGCCTAAAGACTTAATTGAAGAGTGGCACCGCTCTGACCATCCAAAGGAGGAGACAGAACAGGAGGTGTTGCCTGCAAAGAGAAAAAGAGGACCAAAGAGCAAGAAGACAGTGAAGTCAGATTCCAACTCTGACTCTGAAAATGTCACTGTTAAAAAGAAAGGCAAAAAGCAAGGTGCCACGGGTTTGAAGGCACCAAGAATAAGATTCAGACCACCTATAGAGAAAAAGATAAGGGTGAAGATACTTCATATTTGCAGTTTCTGTGAAAAGGTCCTGCCGAACAGGGATGCGCTGAGTAGGCACCTTCAGCGTCACACAGGGGAGAAGCCTTACCACTGTGAAGAGTGTGGCAAAGACTACGGCAGCAAAAATACCCTGAAGATTCACAACATGCAGGTTCACCACAAGGGGACAAAGGACTTCATATGCAATGATTGTGGTCAACAGTTTACCCACCTCACATACCTCAAACGCCACATGTACTCCCACACGGACAAGGAAGAGAGGCCACACCTGTGCAATGTGTGTGGGAAGCATTTCATCCAGAAGTCTCACTTGGACCGTCACAAGATGATTCACACCGGAGAGAAACCATTCAGCTGCGAACACTGCAACATGGCCTTCAATCGGCCGGACTCCCTGCGGATGCATCTGAAGCTACATGTGTCGGGTAGTGAGGGGCCAAATCTGGCAGACCAAGAGAAGACCAAGTGCACAGCGTGTAAGAAGAGCTTTGTCAACCCAAATTACCTCAAAGTCCACATGAGAATACACACTGGGGAGAGGCCATACAAGTGTGAGGACTGTTCCAAGAGCTTCACCCAGATCAGTATTCTCAACGCGCACCGACGCACGCATACTGGAGAGAAGCCACACGAGTGCAAGGTGTGCGGCAGCTGCTTCACCCGTCGCAAGTACCTGGATGATCACATAGGCAGAAAGCATGGCTCTTTAGAGCAAATTAATGAACAGGAGGATGAACAATGAGAACTGAGTTTTTAGGTGTTGTGACTTTATGTATGTAACTTGTAATATAAATATTGAAGATCAGGCAAAGCTGGATTGTTGCCTAGCAGTTTCTCGGGCCCCGTGTAGCTCAGTTGGTAGAGCATGGCGCTTGCAACGCCAGGGTTGTGGGTTTGTTTCCCACGGGGGGCCAGTATGAAAAATGTATGCACTCTAATTGTAAGTCGCTCTGGATAAGAGCGTCTGCTAAATGACTAAAATGTAAATGTAAATGTTGCAGGATGTTTTTTCCTGTCATGCCATGATAAAAATACTGTTTTGGCTTTATAGTGGTGCCCATTCTGAAAATGGATATGTAGCCTTAAAGATCATTCATTTGAATTTAAACTAAACTTTGATGGTACACACAATTTACTGTAATGTTTTATTGGTGAGCTATATACACTACATGGCCAAAAGTATGTGGACACCTCCTAGTCGAACATATGAATCCAAAATCATGGACATTAATATGGAGTTGGTCCCCCCCTTTGCTGCTATAACAGCCTACACTCTTCTGGGAAGGCTTTCCACTAGATGTTGGAACATTGCTGTGGGGACTTGCTTCCATTCAGTCACAAGAGCGTTAGTGAGGTCGGGCACTGAAGTTGGGCGATTAGGCCTGGCTCGCAGTCGGCATTCCAATTTATCCCAAAGGTGTTCGATGGGGTTGAGATCAGGGCTCTGTGCAGGCCAGTCAAGTTCTTTCACACCGATCTCGACAAACCATTTCTCTATGGACCTTGCTTTGTGCACGGGGGTATTGTCCAAACTGTTGCCACAAAGTTGGAAGAACAGCTAATCTAGAATGTCATTGTATGCTGTAGCGTTACGATTTCCCTTCACTGGAACTAAGGGGGCTAGCCCAAACCATGAAAAACAGACCCAGACCATTATTCCTCCTCCACCAAACTATCAAGTTGGCACTATGCATTCGGGAAGGTAGCGTTCTCCTGGCATCTGCCAAACCCAGAGAGGTCCGTCGGACTGCCAGATGGTGAAGCGTGATTCATCACTCCAGAGAACGTGTTTCCACTGCTCCAGAGTCCAATGACGGCAAGCTTTACACCACTCCAGCCGAAGCTTGGCATTGCGCATGGTGATCTTAGGCTTGTGTGCGGCTGGTCGGCCATGGAAACCCATTTCATGATGCTCCCGACGAACAGTTCTTGTGCTTCCAGAGGCAGCTTGGAACTCGGTAGTGAGTGTTGCAACCGAGGACAGACGATTTTTACGCGCTAGGCGCTTCAGCACTCGGCGGTCCCGTTCTGTGAGTTTGTGTAGCCTACCACTTCGCGGCTGAGCCATTGTTGCTCCTAGACTGTCACAGTGGTTTATCTGCATCATACAATGACAAATTAAGAATCAAACTGGAGAATAAATTCAAACAAATAAGTAACATCACTATTCATATTTTAATTGACAATTAACTGGGCTGATACTCAAACTGATTTTTGTAGTGTTTTTAAACCATCAAGCTTTATGCTTACACACTGTTCTTTAAACAGTAACTCTGGGTGGTAAAACATTGGAGAGTGGAAATTTTGAATCTAATGTCTCTGCATGTAAATATTACAGTCATGGTACCTGCATAGTATGCATAATATTATGTGAAATAAACCCTTAACAATGAATAGAGTACATTCCCAATACAAATAAGGCTTTTATATGTTGACTTCCATGTATAAGGCATGTGCTTTAACTCCATTATACTGTATTTAACAGACACTCAAGTTTATCTAGTGGGGTGCTGATCATGCTGTGCAATACTGTTTGCTGATAGAAAATCTGCCATGCATAACAACATCCTGTTCTCGCTGTTATGTGATTGGTTGGTTCAACGTTTAAAATACTTCATATATAGACAGACCATCTGTCATATTGACAGGTTTTGTTAAGAGGATCCTGTGGAAATAAATAGCATCATTTGGAAACTGGTTGCATTCTCTGTTAATGCATTAATGCAAGTAGGTGGCAGACGTGTACTGTTTCTACTCTGTCAAGAGGTTGATTTAAGAGCAGCTCAAACTCCTTAAAACATGGCTCTCATCCTGACAATACTCAGCCTACTGGTCAGCTAAATCATTTTTGGTATCTTTTAGATTAACCATAGATGATTAGATGATGTTGAAATGTTGAATTTGAAATGGTGCTGGAATAGTGGAGGCAGCTCCTGTTTTCTGTGACATTATTTTTTTTTTTCTCAATTGGTAGTTACAGTCTTGTCCCATCACTGCAACTCCCGTACGGACAAGGGAGAGGCGAAGGTCGAGATATGAACCTCCGAAACACGACCCAGCCAAGCCGCACTGCTTCTTGACACAATGACCACTTAACCCGGAAGCCAGCCGCACCAATGTGTCGGAGGAAACACTGTACACCTGGCGACTGTGTCAGCGTGCATGTGCCCGGCCCGCCACAAGACTTGGCTTCCCCTGTGATTTTACCCATGCACCACTACTGTGGTCTGCGGAGATAGGTGGGATGGACTGAGAGGTGGGATTAAAAAGCTGGTGATCTACTGTAGTTATGGCTGGGACTACTGTGGAAAAGATTACTATGTATGTAAAGAATTGGCACCGGTTTTGCAGTTCATTAAATATATTATTGAATTTGCCTGTTAACTAATGCCTCACACACATAGAGCCCCACAGTGGAGGTGTCATAATACCGATAAAACCTACACTGAAAAAAGTCAATCATTGGATAAACGTGAATGAGTTCAAGTGGTAACACGCAAATGAGTTTAGTTTTTTCAAGACAAATATATACTTTGGATTCAAGTAAATTATTAGGTCAATGCTACTTGTATCATTTGATTACAGTGAAACCTAATTATTCTGTAACTCAACCATACATTTGCATATTTAAAAAAGGTGATTTTACTTTACTTTACCAAAAACTAAAATACTATTCAATTCCAACCAAAAACATCTACTTGGATGAAAGCAAATCCCTGGATTGAAGGAACCCATCTGTGTTACTTCAAATTGGTAACATGTAATAGAACCCATTTCCTGCTAAACAAAATATTAGGTTGGTTTACAAACACCTAAGTATGACTCAAAACATAGAATTTCTTTAAGTCTCACATTTATGAGACCAATAAAGTGCTTTTGAACACAGTACAAATACATATACAGTATGTAAACAAATGTAACACTTCCTCTTATTAAACGTTCAATATTTGCGACAGAATTCCTTTTAAAATAAGTGCATTTGCAACCTGCATTAATAAATAGTAATTGTTTCCAGGTACGGTATTTGAACTTCAATACAACTGTAGAAGCTACCATACACATGGTAAGTAGCGTGCTGTTGTACTTTTAACAAGCTTTTCCAAGACCGAGCATATCGTTGCTGTCGGGTGAAACTCTTGTAACTCCAAATGTGAAGATATATTTCTTTACATATAAATTGAAAGGCAGGACAACCCTTTTTGAACCTCCTAAAATTTCACAGCTCTAGTAGCAAAGACACTTATCGAAAATACAACCTAATAAAAATTTGACCTTTCATTAACATTGAAAAAACATTCTAAATTCAATTTCCTGATATTTGAAGATACAATACTTTCACCCGACAGCGATGATATGAAGTCTTCTCTAACCAACAGCACAGCAAGAAAAAGCTCCATTCCACTTAATGTTCAGCTGTTAGGGTCCATGATGGTTGCTTTTTGTTAAGAGCTCAAATCTGTAACCAAAATCAAATTGTAAAAACATAAAATTTTAGGACTCGAGCAATAACATCATAGTCTTGGTTATTGTGAGCTTTGCAGTTTGCAACAAAGGTTCTGCACTTTGGCAGACATCGTGTTGCTCAAACTGCATTAGGATTTAACACTTCTAAAATGTTTTTATGAACTTGGCCTATAAGTGAAGGCTCAAGAAAGACAACTCCTTATGTAAACAACCTTTTCCCCATAGTATAAAATCAAAGTGTTTTTTTCTGGCAACCTGTATGAATAAACCAAACTATTTAGCAGTATATTTGAACTTTGAATGGTTCGTTTATGTTAGGAGCTACCTGGAAATTCCTTGCACACACTCAAATGAACTCAAATCTGTAACCAAAATCAAGTTAAGTGTCAAATCTTTAAACAACATAAACCATAAGAGAAACACTATCAACACCTTGGTGTTGATTACTGTGAGCCTTGCAGTTTCCAACATAGATTCTGCAGTTTTGGAGACATCTTGTGTCAATCAAGCTATATTAGGACTTTCTGTAACACTTCAAAAGAGAAACGGAGTGGCTTTGGATAAGTTGAGTACATACATTAAACCCAAAAGTAAGACACAAGCAGATGCGACTGAACTCAGTTCATTGACCAC